GGGCGAACTCTATTCCTTTTTAGAGGCCATTAATAATCAGGTTTCTCCTGTCTCAATCGAACAGAATGTTTGTATGGGGAATAGAAAAGGACTGTTTTTAGGGTTTTCCCGGAAATGAATCAATTTTGTTCAGTTTTAAACCTTCCCTACACCTCCAGGAACATTTCAAGACTAAGATAAGATAAATCCGTTCAGCTGTTCTCGAGTTTTAGCGAGACTAAGGAACAGCAATCCATTTTTATATATATAGAAGATAATAATAAAATAATGTTGATATTCTAGAAAATAATATTATACCTACTGTTTTATTTGATATTGCATTATGAGGAAATTCTTTTTGTTGTCTTTTTAAGTATATAATTAGATTTATAAGTTATTGATTACATATAGAAAATTTAATGGACAATGTAAATATGATATTTATAATCAATAATCAATTTTCTTGATTTTGTATTTAGAGTATAAATATGCACAGGATTCATGAAGAATTTGCTATTTATAAAATCTTAATATAAAAATAATTATAACTATATTAAGATTTTCCAAGATTTATTAATAATAAAAAAGAATAAAGCTTTATTCCTTTTAACTTTATTAATTTATAAGAAAGCTAGAACAGTTGGAATGCAGGGTATAACCTACATAAGCTACCCATCTAAGTATATATGTAGAAGGACGTGCAAGGAGTATTAAGTTGATGATAAAATAACAATTTTATATCACGTGAAGTGGATAAATGTTATTATAACGAAATAAAATATAATAACAATTAAAAAATAACAAACTAACACTATATATAGACACATATCTAATATAATACATATCGTACATAACCACACATTTCCATCTTGGATGATGACTCCATTTCCATCTTGGATAGCAATCAATTTTGAAATAGGACTTCAATTTCAATTAATAATTAATTTGATTTAAAACCTGTTATTGTCGTTAGAGTATTATATAACAGATGCAACATCAATACATTTTAATGTTGATTTGGATTGAATGAAATTATTCTTTCTATACGATCTTCTAAAGCATTAACTTGGAATAAATAACCTCGTATTATGAGCCGGATACGGGCAATGAATTAAACAATGCAGTCAAAATGTTATATTAGAGCTTAATCAGTTCAAATATTTTATTGGTAAACAACATTTAAGTTAATAAATTGGAGGATATTTTGGTGAAATTCCTTCATGCGTTTATCAACAATTGTTAATGTTTAAAAATCCTATGAATTCTTTTAAAGAAACATACATAAACAATTGTCATCAAACAAACTTTTATTACATTTACATACATATATTTTCTTTCAACATTAAAACTATGTTTCCCTGAAGAACAAAATAGTATACTCTATTAAAAATACCTAAATGATTGGTATTGTAAGTAAATTTATAATAATTTTGGGAACAGTTCCACTTAACCAGAAAACAATTCAAATTCACATAAGCGAAACAGATATATGAACGCTTCGATACATAATTTCCATCATCAGCCATCTTGAATTCACAGTCACTGGACCGTGTTAAAAGTGGTGCGATATAATCATATTATAAAAAAACTAAATTATTGTTAATATAATATATTCTGGTGCACGGAAAACGCTTGGAGCGAAATCTCTACAATCACAGTTCAAGGTCCCAGTATCCTGAATATTTTATCATAAAATCGATTAATTGAAAACTGTTCCACAGCTGATCTGTCCTCGTCTCGTTAAGTCAATTAAACTACGTCTATCGAGTTCAGCGAGAATGGTAGCGAAAGATGTTCGTCGACGACTATTCAAAGTTCTTATAAAATATTTTACATTTTCCAACAACCTTTACATTTATATCTACGGAAATGAAAACGAAATTCACTATTTTATGCAACTGTCATTCTGAAATTATTCTGTTTATATTGTTCGAAATGTTTCTCTTGGGTGTTGTGTGTATAACTTTCCGTTGGGTATAAAAGCTTCACGCTTTATATATTGTGTACAATTGATCCGAATGCCGGTTGCAATATGCACTTGCACGATTATTCTCCGAAAGTATCAATAACGGCAACTTCAAAACATTACCTGGAATGTCTTTCGATACCGCGGATGTAAATTAGCTATGATTTTGTATACTTGGCTATTTTTGTATACATAAATTACTTGAATCAAGTAAACGGCTGCAAATATTTTGTTGAAATTTCATATACATATACGCCATTAGCGTACTATGAGCGTTGATTCAGAGAAAATGTCGTATTTCGAGTATATATTTTCTTTCAATAACTAGCCTAGCTTCGATACACAGTAGCTAATTATTACGTCTAAGGACAGAATATATGATGAATAATGATTTGTTGCAATTGAATAAATTCTAAAATGACATAATAATAATAGACTTTATGAGCTGTAAGAACAGTTGCGTCAATCTTCACAAGATTAATTTAAGGAAAATTAAATTTCACTAGTAACTTACAACTCATATTTATATGAACGTTACATATATAAAGATATTGACGTAGTTAGTTTATGACAAGTTTACATAAAAAAAAATTGGTTTTGGGATTTAATATACTTCAGGTAGTCCACTTTGTTGCAAATACAACGTTTTGATGTATAATTTATTGCCATTTTAAAGGTAACCTCATAATGCCTCTCTCATAAAACTCCTTGTCTCTATTTGCAGAAAACTGTAGTAATTGAATTTCACGATTTTTCCTAGATGAAAATTTCAAATTTCTTATAACTAAATTTTATTTGCAATGCAATGAAACGATGGTAATCGCTTGGTGTTGACACCAATGAATCCGTCAAATAGTTTGGATTTGGAGTCCAAATTATTTGACGAATTCATTGAAACGAACCAACCAAGCTCCCAAAGTTTCATGTGAGTCACTGTATTCATGTGTGGCCTAGAGTTGTCCTATTGAAACACGACACCTCCTCTTGGCTAATTCTGGCCGCTTCAGGGTAATCATTATCTATAAACGTTCCTGTCATATACAGCTGACAACAGAATTTAATGTTTTGACAATATGGAAACAACTCATTATACATAAGTCCTTTACCGACTCCACAAAATGCACAGCAGTACCTTAAATAAATGATTTTTTTGTCATACATACTATTTTATGTACAAATATAGAAATCTTATTTTGATTTTATGAATTTCAACAGTATTCCGATTTATACTTTCATTTGCTCGCGACTTAATTCGCTTAGCAATGGAAAATATTTAATAAGTAAGCTGGCGGAAGCAATCATTTTTCCAAGGTTTTTGCAATCTTTAGATAAGTCGTAGCGTAGTGGTACATAGCTTGTAGATTTCCTGAACAAACAGGATAACTGATATAGAAAGATTTTTCGCATAGCAACATTAGTTTCTGAATTTAACGTATTTTACTGAAGAAAAAAATTCTCTTTAACTTTATAATATTAATATAGACTAATATATAATATGAAATTATATGCTCTTTCTCGGTTATAATTCCATAATCAAAGTTTGCAATTTTTCGCCTGATAATAACTATTTTAAATAGGTTCTTATAATTCGTATGAAAAATAAATTAAGTCTTTTGTTTTAGAATTATATATTTATATAAATTAATTGTTTGTTACTTAATTTGTCTCTAGTCTCTACGTTCAATAAAAATCAATATGAAAATTCTTTATTTACATATTGTTTTATATTTATTAATATATATCATAATTATTCAATGTTCTCCGCCATTTCTGTACTTCGTGACGTCACATATTTTGTGTCAACCGCACTGTCAGGTCAAGACCTAGGTCAAAACCAGTTAAAACGTTTATGTGGTCTTAATAGATACAAAGCTCTAAATATAGTGGTTTGTTGTACATTATTTTAAGTATATTTTTTACGTATATTACTTTTGTAGGTATAGACATTAATGTATGTAATACACACATATTTGGTGTATATTAAAGTAATAATTTAAAGAAAAAAAAATAAAGAAAGAAAGAAATTTTAAATTCACACTGTTTTAAAGTTGAGACATTAAATGTCTTTATTTTGAAGTCATATTTTATGAGATTTAAATTACGGTATAGCCACACCTATCCCTTACCTTGAAAACACTTCATATTTCCCATAGTTAGCCGCAAAATTTTTTCATGTACCTTCATGAAATGTAAGTAAATTTATCGATATATTACGCAGCTGTTTCATTAAAGTTGTTATAAGCTTAGTTTAGTTTAATCTCATCCCACGTAGTAAAGCCAGTTATCGGCTTTAAATTCGATAAACTTAAACGGAAACTTCTAAAATGAGATGAAAATTTACGTCAAATATAGTTATAAAGTGTTATAAATAGTTTGATGAAAAATAAAAAAAATATCAACTAATATTATATACTGAACACTAAGACATGAACAGAAAATATTTCTCTGAATAACAAATGAAATGATTAGTAGATAATGAGAAGTCATGTCACCGTCTGTTCTTTATAAAGGCCTTATTACAGAACTGTAATGAACTTGAACTATATTTATACCGCGTCATTGAAACTACACGGTCAATAAGTTATCGGACGCGGAACTGAGTGCTGTTTCTACGAGTTATTGGAAAGTTTCGTTATAAATTCAGCTAATTTTTAAGCACATAATATCCATCGATAAGTCGAAGGTCGTTAACATGTTATCAGATCATGTTTTTGGCTCACGAGCAGCATTTGCTAATATTCTTTCCTGAGGTTGAGTCGGCTTGGCACCGTGCGGTGCATCGCTCTCCTGCAGCCACTCGCCGCCATGCCTCCAAGCTGGTCACGCCGCCCGTACACTAAGCTTTGACTCCCGCCGTGTAACCTAAATCTCCACGCCCTCCATCAAGGCTACATCTACAGAGAATCATGTAAAACTATTTTAAACTTCTAGTTCATTATGAAATGGCACATCTATTAACATATGCACCCACGAAATGCATGCTCGATCTGTACCTAAACCCATCAAATATTTTCTCTATCGCCATTTAGTCTTACTAATTTCATTAATATGTTAGATTGTTGAAAAGTCCCAACTTCATACGTATATCGTGCACCGATGGAGTTCGGAAGCGCGGCATGAGCGGTCGGTGTGTGGAAGGTGAGAACGCTGCTCACAAGCGGCGGGCACGCGGCACGCGGCACGCGGGGAGCGGCCCAATCCGCGGTGCAGTGGTTGGCAGACGGTGTCGATACGCGTGCGGACGAGCGCTAGCCGGCCGCGGGGGATGCGACGCGGCGCGGGGATAGGGAGCACGCGCCACCGCGCCAGCGCCAGTCCACCGCTGACACGTCAAGACGGTACACGCTCTCGTGAGAATATCGCTATAGACACGCGGTTCTATATGACGATGACGGTGACTCGCACTCGGTGAGGCGCCGCTGCACGCGCCCCTTACGCATTACGTAAGGTCTCCGCCCGACGGTAGCTGAATATACATATCTTTCATTTTAATAGACGCCCGCAAGTAGTAAACAATTGGAAGCGATATAAATTAGACGGCTATAAGGAGCGGAGGTGATAGGAGACAGCGTTGCGCCTTTTCTAACGACCGTGAGCGATGCGCCCGCCGCGCCAAATGCTTTAAGTCCATTATGCGAGATAGCGCGGGTGCGCTACAGAACGAAAAGCGGGCGTAGTGGCAGCGGTTAGCCGCAGCACGAGAGCGCGACATGGCGCAAGAGTAAAGTGGTGGCGGCCGCGAGCGCCACCAGCCGGAGGGGGGCGCCGCGGGCCAGCCGGCTTCTTCGCCGCATATCCATTGCGAAGACACACCAGCTACGACCCAATGACACATTGACGTTGAACAGCCACCATTGCTCGTATAGAGTTGGTCGAGAAATGGGGGCTGACGCCTGTCCTCAGGCCGAGGCAGGAATGCCCCCGGGCCCAGGAGCAAAGCGAAGACCAAAGGTACGTATTATGTAGCCTAATTGTATAAGCCAACGGAGGCTGACTGTTCCGGTACTGGCGATGACACAGGTTGCGGTCAGGATGTAGCGGTTGCGTCATGGAGTCGTCCTTCATGTATCGCGGCACACTTCAATCGCGTTTCGATTCCCGTCTCTGACACATGTATATTAAGGTGGTTATGGAATATTTCGACATGTGTTGGTGAGTGGCACGGCGGCCGCTACTAACAATGACTAACCAGCTCACATACCTTGGTTTTGGTGAGTGTCGACGACATTTCGAACATAACCATAACCAGCAACGAAACCCGCACTGTCTGGTTTATCGTCACTGCGGTGAGAATTACGACTCACAGACCACCAGTCGCTCAATTAGAATACCGGATTGAGGATGCTTACAGCATTGTTCTAATTTCCCTTTCCTTTGTTTGCTTCCCTAGAAAATCTCAAAACATTGAAGTAGGATGTCTCTTAATGATTTTTACGAACATCCTTCTGATACGGAAGGAACTATCTCGAAAGGAAATCATCAGTTGCGTTCATTAATAATAGTTTTTGTCATGAATGGCTTCTCTTTTATTTTCATTTACTAACTCTACAACATTATTATTCCTTTTTCACTAACACTGTCAGATATTATTCACATAACATCAGCTATAACAGTTTTATATAATGCGAAATACATTTATTTTTATATATATCTTGTCATACTTTTTTTGTTATACGCTAAACATCTTATTAATTACATTAAGAGTTTCTAGATAAGACGTGACTGAAGTGTCATATTAAAATATTCCTAAAGTAAGCCATGTATCACAATTTTGAGGTAATGAAACCATGAGAAATTTTTAATATCTAACCTTGATAGTTTAAACATACATATCTTAAATTAACTTGAGTAATGTCTCTATTAAATTTGGGATCAAAAAAATCATTAAATTTTTGTTGCATAAAATGTTCTGGTTGCGGAAGGGACATATTGCAGATGTTATATAATTTTTGCAACAGAATTAGATTTCAATATTTCAATTATGTAACAATAAAAAGAGGTGCGTCTTATCTACTCTTACATTAGTAAATGACTAAACTAGCTTTAATATACGTTAACAAATATTTTTATTGTTCTTTATCGAATCGTCTAATTTATGATAAGCATATTTGGAAGAAAATAAAACACATCGGTATAAAATGGAGTAGAAAGACAAATAAAAATGACAGAAAAGCGATAAACTCTCCCGTGATATTTAAACTACCGTCATGAATATTCACTAACGATTAGCGAATACAATAAATGCAACAAAGGTTTAAAACCGCCCAATCGGTGTGGGTTTTAAGCGACCGCGCAATTACGATTTGTACGAGAGTACCAGTGTTTAGTTGCATTCTGTAATCAGTAGAACCACTTTAGAATTTTACTATAAGAATACATTTCTAGGATCACATTTGCGTATAAAAAGAATAACTTTAATCAACTGTACAATAGATTTTCAGGACGCGAAATACATGCTTATATTTGTAGGACGAGCTTTATATTAAATATCGTCTTCTTTAATGTTGTCACTGGATTTTGTCCAAAAATTATATTCAAAGTATGCAGGAGTTTATTATTTTACAGTAGATTTTACCTGCATCGCCACCCGCATGAATCTGCAAATTTGTTCTTAAAATTGAACTACCCTCTACGAGGTCCCATCTTTCTTATACTAAGTTTAAATAAAATTGTTTCAATTCGCGTCTTTCAAATTATCCGTGTAAATGTATATACCATACAGTTTTTCAATATGTAAATAAGATACTACATAACATAAAGAAATGTAAAAGTTAGTGTCGCAGTGCAGAACTGGTTGTGCTAACAAGATAATTATACATTAAACCGCGACGCCGCCCGCCACAACGCTCTGCATGTTTTGTCTTATACAATGATAACTTACAACCTTTAATATAAGTATTATTTTCTACTAAAATAAATTTTTTTTTTCTATACATATCTAATATCAAATACCGTATCAATATGATGACTATTATTTTACGAGTACTAATTTCCATATAGAATAGATATGCATTAATTGTAACAAAGCAAAAGATTGCAATGTAAATAATATTTTAATGATAAAATTCACATCGCAACATTCTCCTAGTACCGTATCACGCAACAACCGACACACGGATTTAAATTGCTCTATTCTTTACCTTCACGTTGTTAAAGCTCACTGGGCAATATTATCGCTGAAAATATTCAAACGTTTCACACAAATATAACTTTGGTTAATACAATATAAATTTCATAAATGTCTTAACAATTCGTATAATAGAAAATGTGGTGATGCTTTAAGCAAATGTTTACAAAAATATCGTTCATACGTCATCGGTAATGGGATTTAACGAAAGCATTAAACATAGCCGTATCATTATATCGAACTCGTCTCATTCAAATACAATTTCATTGCATTTAAATGGAAGTGGCCATTTTACGGATGACTGATATCGAGACGTAGAACACTGATGTAGAGATTGATGAAAGAACTAAAGTGGAATAAGTTCTTATTACGTATAATTTTATAACAGGCAGTAGTATAATATATAGAGCAATTAATGTAGTGATAAAATTTTTTTTAGATATCATCTCATAGAGGCACACTTCACGATACACTGCAAATTCATTGTTTTTCCGTGAACTAAATAAATTATAACAGATTTTTTGTAAACTTGTTCCTACATAAAATTTATATCAAAAAAAGCCACGACCTCAATACAACATCTTTTCGTAGGTGACCATTCAGTTCTTTCCAGGGACTAAGTTTCTCAGACACCCATTCGAACTTAAAGTTCATTATCGTAAAGCATTACGTATTAATTATTGTAGTATCAACATTTTTCAACTTATTTATGTGAATAGCTTGTTTTCTAATTCCATTATACTCTGGGTGTCTTATTAATCACAAATCCTCAAGACGATAGCCTAGGTAAATTCTTTGGATGGCCCTTTCTCAAGACATCCATGGTTTAATTTTCTAAAAAAATTGTCGTACCTCTGATTACCAAAACCTAATTTAAAAAATACTTCATTCTATTTCAATAAATGAAAATTAAATGTACTTTAGTCAGATAAATGGTCTGCGAAGATATTACTTTTCATTATCTAACGAAAGTTGGCAATTAAAATGTACACATAGACCCAGTTTAATAGGTTCATCTTACACTTTCACTTTATTATATCGGTTAGGGTTATAAAAATAATAAATATCCAGTTTTCAAAATGTATAGGAAAATAAGAAAATTGAAATATGGATGAAATAAAATACGACATCAAGTTAGGTATACAAAAAATATTTTTATTGACACAAAACGTTTGAACAAAATTATATGACACCTACTGGTCGTGATCTTAAAGTAACTTTACTTTAATTTTATATGAGATTTATTTAAAATTAAAAATTAATCGCATGTCTCGCCTTTCGGAAGCGTCTGTTAACCTTGACTTCAAACGTCAAATAAGGAATACCATGATTAGATTAGCTGCATAGCGTGACCTCCGCCTGTCCAAATTTTAAGTTTTGCCGATATGCTTGCTTTATTATAAAGCATTTACACTGTTACATCTAAACCATATAACTGTATAATATATTGTATAGAGATTTTGATTATAAAGACAAACAAAAATAAAAAATAGAGAAGAAGACATACATAGTATGTATTAGTAACAACGAAAAGGAGATATTTCTGTCATTTCTATTTCACTATGTCTTCGCTTACGCATAATATATTTTTTTATAAACATTTAATGCGGTACCCAAATTTATAGCTAGACTTATAGTATATAAATTCTATACCAAGTATATGAGTTATTTTCCTGAACTTTATATTTGAACATTAAATTATAAACCAGTATTACTAATACATTATACAATATAAGCTATAAATAGTAAGTACTCTCGATCGAATCAAAAGTTATAACTCAATAAAGAGTTTGTTTTCTTCTTTTACCAAAAACTTTTAAAAGTAAATGTGAATAATTTAACTATAGATTTTATATGAAAAAGTTTCTTATTCCTCATTTCTTATTCCCTACTGCATAAGTATGTATCGAATACCGAAATATATATGTAACTTTCTTTGCTCAATAGTTCTAAGTATATGTTATTTCAATTAATATTTAAAAAAATGTTCCTTGCATTAGATAATTAATTTATCTATGTTTAAATCCTTTCATCTGTACGTATTTTATAAAATTATATTTTCGTAGATTATTTACTCACATTTCCTTTCCTACAGTTTTTGGACTTGTTAAGTACTTCTCTGATATTATAAACCACAGAACAAAACTGTTTCGAATAAAATATTGGAATAAATAATAAGAAAACTTACGCTACGTTTGTTAAAGATTTTCTTAGAAAATCTCATGACCTTAATTTTAGCTTTCTTTGGTTCCTATACGTGAGATTCTTAGAATTTTAACTGGGTCACTTTTTACCTTACCTCTCATACATGGTCTTCGTGACTCATCTTCTTAAAATTCACTCCATATTTTAATGTTTTTTTTTTTTGTTAAAATAATGTTTGATCAAATTAATATTATGGGTTCAATAATCCTTTTAATTATATGTGCAATCTAACTGATTTATTTTCGATTATGACAGAGATTGCATTTCATTTTTAATATTCTGACCACTAATTGGAATGTGTTTAATTGAATTATTAGGTTTATAAACCGCCAGAATGCGGTCAGTCAATTCTCGGGTAATTACCTATTTGATACCAATGGTTCATTATCTATTATGAGATTAGCACCTCGCTTCGTAAGAATAAAACATATAAAACAATTATTGTACAGTTGTAACTGTAATATCGTTCAAAACCACATTTTTTTTGTAATATTCTTGAAATAGGTATACATACATATATAGCTAAATTATATTTCGATTTCGAGAGATATATGTATGAATGATTGTATTTTTTTGCGTTGTATATAGACGTTCATCAAAATTATTACTTTTTTATATAAAATTTAGATAATAAAGATATTTCTTATAATTCTTGAAAGCGTTAGAGAGCTCCGCTAAGCTCTGTACATTAATATTGCCATTGTACTCGTGGTGTATTAAAAAAACTGTTTTCATGAAATAAAAGCTTTTATTAAGAAAACCAGGAAAAAACAATGTCAAAGTTAATATAATTTTATAAATATTTTTATATATACATATTATAAAACAATGGCCATTGCTCACTGCTAACTATTACTTATTATTTATATTTAATTATATTCACCATTGAAAATGCACCCTCTTTTCTATCTCTCTTACAGATTTTTCTCTACATTATTGTTTCTATCCACTTGCAGATTAATTTTAATAAGAAACATCACTCAAAGAAAATCCACTTGATCTGAGATCATGAAATAAATGAACAAATTTATAAAATCAACTTCGATAATCGTCTTCTGAGCGATGGAACAGGATCTAGTTGGAGCATTTCTTTTTATTTTAGAAAAGAATTTTAATTAGTAAGAGTGCTTTTAAACGAATACGGTAACTGCAATCGTTCTCAGTGTTTATTGTCATTTGATTTCGGCGAGGAGACCTCTGTGTAAAATTCAGAATTGAACACGGACGATAGTCAGCCGTTATTCCTTTTTTTGTTTTTTATTTAATGGTTGAATAGAAATTTTAATTGTTGTGAGCAGATAGTATTTTCTCGAATTGACATATTATATAAGTGGGTGCTTATGCAAAAACAGCGTAGTTTTTTATTTAAATTAAATATATTAAGGTACATATTTGTAATGCATTTCCCATAAAAATTGCTCTACGCGCTTCCTGATAGGATAAACGTAAGATGTAAAATTTTACGTTCGATGGCTCTAGCAATTTACTGAAAAGGTATATAAAATTTTCTCTTTACATATTAATAGATAACTTTACCTCAAATTCTTTGACACATCTTCCCAAAAAAAACATTAGCAATGTGGTTATTAGAAATTTGTGATTATTTATTTTATTCTAAATTAAATAGTTTTATGATTTGAACGGAACAAGCGTTGACGGATGGTGTCAATTTTAAAATATGCTAATGTAAGTATGACGCACTCGCATAGTCACATCCTTCATGACAAACCTTAATTAATCTTTACAGTGATGTTTGTAAACAAAAATCGTATATAATTCGGTCATTTAATTTTTTTATTAAAACATGATTCACAAAATTTAGGTCCATTATAAATAGAACGTAAATCTGTAAAACCAACGATCATTCAAGTGGTGGGACTGAAAACAATAAGTGATGGAGGGTGATTCATTCACTTCAAATATAATAAAGGTCATAATCAAATATTTCATAGTAGTCTTGGTACTCTCAATGATTTAATGATAATTTTATTATATTCTTTCGTTAATATTAAAAAAAATATCGACCGATGGGGTTTCCTTGGCTTTGTTTCAAATACGTGTGAGAGAAGCACTACGTCCCGTTATCTTAAAACTATTTTCGTCGTAATCTATAAATATATAAGTATCGACAGTTAATTTATTTAAAATTTTTGTTGACTGATCTTGAATGCCACCTTTAGTAAGTGGAAGAAAATTTTGTATATATGAACAAATAAATCGCTTCCAATCGAGATTAATGTTCCATAGATATCAAATTGAAATTGATCAATGACGAAATGTCTGCATTGAAGCCACCTTCTAGATAATCAAAGTTCTATTTCTATAAATCTGATAATTTATTGAGTCCACTATAAAGCTTGACTTACTAATGTTTATTTTTATTCATATAGCAAAAATTTTACGATATTCTTAGAATTTTATTCACTTTAGATGATGTTATTTATCACAAATTCGATTAAAGTTCTAACTGTTGATTATAAAACACACAATAACTCACCTTAAAAACCCCTATTTTACTCTCCTATGATACCGAATAATAATTACAATTGTAATTAAAAGAGGAGGGTAAAAGAGACTTATTCTCACTTATGTTTAAACAAAACCAATGACTTAGATGTCAAAATATATTATAGTAGCTTTCCTCCCGCAGCTTCGCCCGCGTTGTGTTCGGTTATATCGCGTTTCCAAGAGAACCTTTCAAAAGTCTGGGGTAAAAACTATGCTATGTTCTTTCTCAAGGTCCACTCCATCTCAGTACCAAATTTCATTAAAATCAGTTCAGTGGTTTAGGCGTGAAAGCGTAACAGACAGACACACAGAGTTACTTTCCCATTTATAATATTAGTAGGGATTTAATTATCTACTTCTCAATCATAAATTAATCAGTATTCCAGGACAATTTGATTAACTATAAATTTCCATTAACTCCTATCACATATAAAAACTCATTGGAATGAATTATCATCCTTGTATGATATAAAATTAATTTCAATGACATTTTACTGTAATGAAATTATTCGTTCATTTTACGTACAATTGTTCAGACACGTTTCCGTAGCGGAATTATAATAAAAGATAAAAACACCAATTATATACAAAAACAAGTAATTCGACAAATATTTCTAGTAAACATTTTGCTTACTTCTATACAACATTGTGTCACTCTATATAATATGTATAGTTATTATAATTTCAATCGCGCAACTCTCAAAACTGGCTATTATTAGCACCAGCTTGGCCTGAACGTGAGAGAGCTGTCGATAAAACGCACTCGTGTACTGTTAACAAATCAATTGAATTAATTATATTCGTAACCATTATTTATTTCTATAGCAATTTTATACAAAAAAAATACAAATACAGTCAGCAAAGGAACAACTAAATATTGAAATGGATTTCATATTCTTAGTTATTATTATTTTCACAAAAATCAGTATTATTATAATTATATTTTTGGTCGAAATAAAATAGAATGAATATTATTGAAAGCACAATGAAAAATGTGAAAGAGTACTTCGAATAAGTCGTAGACGACTTGGAGGTACTCAACACGAATGCCACTCACTTAAATCATTCCATTCCACATTTTACATTTGCTAGCAAATGCTTTCCACACGTCACATGCATTTCCTTTGGTGCGGATTAAAAAAAAACTGGTATACTATGATTTTGACAGATAGAACACAGAGACACGACCACAGCTCTGTAAATAGGCGATCGGTGACATTGCAAACTTCTCAGCGGTCTGTGGATTGAGTGGTTAAAGTTGTTCAAAATAAACATCGCTCGCTGTTACTATATTAATATAACCATGGCGTCGAGTCGACATATTCAATAAATTATATAAAACATGACACAGTGATTTGTGTCTCGCGCAGATCAGCTGTGTGTTCAAGCGGAGTATTGATCGTCTCAATAATACGAAATCCGGAAAGATTTCGTTTAACTTAGATAGCTATTGTCTCTTTTCGGGATTGTTCTATATATACCGCCTACATATTAAAACGAACTTATTGTTTGTTTATATTATTACTTAATTAGAAGATAATACGCAATATAAATGAAACACCCACCCACTTTTAAAAACTAGAAAAACTGTTAATTTCTTTTGCCATTTAAAGTAAAAAAATATGTCCTTTATTGAACCACTCGAATCGGAAACGTCGGATTCAATTAGCCTTTAAACCATCCCCATGGAATTGAAATGAATCCGATGCAAAAAGTTATTCGAATAGCAGAAAAATGTAATCTCTTTGAAAAGCTCTGGAAAATCTAGCTGGCGAGATTCTCGGTCTAACATCCCAGTGTGTTGTTGAGTGAACGTTGTCGAGAGCAAGAAAGGAATTAGAAAAACTTTAAAGCAGGCTTTAAGAAGCTTAAGATCTCACTGCCATAAGTATTTCAGATTGTTCAGTTATTTCGAATCTCCTCCACTAAATAAAAGACGCGAAATAAATATATCCTATATAAATTCTTTCTAAGAATTGCTCTTTGTAACTGATTTTTAAATGAATTACGAATTACAATTTATAAAATGTATTTTGATTCTAAATATTGTTAATAAGAAATTCTAAAATAAATATTTCTGTTGTTTCCAATTCTTTCTACAATCGTGTAACTTCTGTTCAACATGAATTTCTCTTTTTTGAAATTAAAACAACCAGAACTGAAACGTTCAAAACAAAATATGCGGCGACAATCCACTACATAGCGGTATGTGAAATTAAAGCGTGATTGACATGACGTACCTTCTATACGCCGCGAACTAACCGCTTTGAAATTCACATCCCTTTAAAGCGATATTGCACTCTGTGTTTATTTGGTTTCCAAAGACCAAAATCGAATGACGTCGATTAAATAACGTTTTGTATTTTCAGACAGACCAATAAATAGGATATGCTGCTTTATTTTAGAATACGAAAATTTATAACCTTTAAATAATGCTATTCAAGATATATGAATGGATCGGATATGTAACCGGCTGAATAATCCGTACTAAAATAGTTATGAACAAATGTGATCTGCTCCAGTTATTATATAACGAGCATATTATAATGAACATAAAATTGTTTTACACGCTCATTATATTATAGATATCATTAACGTGAACGCAACCATCTGGCGGTAGTGAGACTATTTTTTGTTTCTCATACGCTCTTAGTAAATTCTCTTCAATCACTGACAATAAGCCAGTCCTACAACAAACATTAAGCTTAAAAATTTATATCATCCAGTTAAATAATGCATCTGATTCATCGAATACAAAGCTATGGATGCATTGTTAGATTATTGTATTATATAATATTATTAAATGAATTTTATATCGTTGACAAATGGCTACATAATAAAACTACAATAGAACCAATAAGGATCGAATGAAATAAATCTATGAATATATGTCATGTTTTTCATATGATGCCTACAAATAATATTAACACCCACGTCTCATATATTCTGAACAGCATGAAATATATTTCTAATATGTTACGAAAGCTTTGAAATAGACTTGTGTATGAATCTATGTCGTTTTTAAAACGACCTAGTTCAGATTAAAGACTCCACGTTCTATCAATCTATTTATAATTTTATGTAACTTATTGATTAGACAATTAAGATTTAATTACTTAAACAAGATGTAAATCAACGTTGATGGTTAATGTATGTTAAATGAAGTTTCATTACCATTTTAACGATTCCAATATATATTCTGATCATCAGTTGGAGTACATGATGTATAAATAAGGATTTTATGATCTTATATATTATATTTATAAAATTATTGCCATAATAATATTATTTTTTTGTAAAGAGTCAAATAACATTTAGACAACATTTTGTCTTAGTCCGTTGAAAGGTAACTTGAAAAATTGTGATGAATATATATATACATATATGGCACTAATTGTTTCATATTTTCACTAAGAACATCGATAAGTTTTATTAATTTAGTATACCATTATTACAGGATAAGTATGAAATGTATTTTATATCTACTTTGAATACAATCCATATGTTTATATGAGAATATATTATCTACAATACGAGGCATTAAAACAAGAGAAATATGTGTAAACAGTGCCTAATAAGAGCTTCAGCTATATCGGTTATTTAGTTAACAAACTATGGCCACGTTCATAGCAAGTTATTCTAACATTCGACGCAGAAACTCGACATTTAGTTAAAGCTACGGGTAGACCGCAGTATATTGAATTTGCACAGTACCTGAAGCCGAGTTAATGTTAGGAAACTTCAATGTAACTATGGATAGTTTAAATTCAAGTTTCAACAACCATAAAGCGTTTTCACTGCATACTATTTTGGGATATCAAATATACAACTTCAAATAGAAATGTGAAACTATGATGTTATTCTCGCAGGTCGCTGCCGAAATTGTGCAGTCAAGAAGAGGAGCAGGGCCGGCCGCCACAGGGCGGCGTGGTAACATTTGAACCGATACAACATGACCACGACTTCTGCGAGAGGGTCGTGATCAATGTAAGTCTTAACATATTAACATTTTAGATGATGTTTGATACTATTTTATAGAATATAAACTTGTACAAAAGGAAATTCTGTAGTAATATAGCAAAGAGATTAGAGAAGTCTTTGAATGAAATGGAGGAACGGAGGTTTAAAAATAATTTAACTCCAACTATATGATATGAGTTTTCATCAATTGTAAGTTGAACTATTTTCTTCAAATGATAACTTTTTTTTAATTTCACGTTTTGAATTTCGAAATCTTTTATGCTGATTACTTCTTAGGCAGATAATTTCATTTGTAGTACATACATCTACATGTTATTTTAAAGTACTTGTATTATAATAATAAATTAATATGACCCCTTTGAAGTATTTGTCTAAGCAAAACAATAAACAGGAGGTTAGAATATATAATATAAAGTATAGAATTGCAGTTTCCTTCGCTTCAACTTTAATTATATACTGCCTTTGTTGTGGAAATCTTGGAACGTTTAAAATTATTCCTCGAGAAACATTTCCAACTAGCTAGATTGTTATTCTGTAATAATTTGATATTGCCATAAAAGATTTTATAATTCTAACATACATTATTTAAAATAAGTCTTTAGTTTAGCTTTATTTGTAATTTACAAGCTGATACTGAATATTACATATGTGTTGGAAATTATCGTCTAGAATTGCTGTCTGCCCTTTTTTTATTCCTAAAAACCAAGTTTGACAACGCATTTACAACAGAGATGTAACGGATGTTCCTGGAAGACGGTAGCTACCGCCCAACAAATAGGCCGTTTGCTCGTTTGTCATCTGTAACATAGAAAAAAATGCTAAACTTTTCATCAATATCTATTGAAATAATAATAAAAATTCATAAACTAGAGATGTAAAAATTAATTGAACGATAGACATATGTTATTGGTAAAAATTTAAACAACATAATTACGGATAAATAAAGTTCGTCAAGAAAAATGTAATTCCATGGTATAAGGTAACGATGGATTAGTTTAACAACTGTTAAACAAACATTTCCAATAAAAATGTATGAGCTATATAGAAAACACTTAAAATATATAAATACAATATAAAGAATGGAGAAATATTAACAACTGGCAAATACTAGAATTCTCCTTGAATTTTTTATATCAGCCATAGTTCCAATTACCCAGCTGCTCTTCTTTAGCAAGAAAAGAGATTGCATTGTAAAGGTTTTTTAATACATCTACCTTTATAAGAAATTCCGCATCTGTAGAACTTTAATAAGCAAGATGATGAAAAATTCGCTTACTTAAGTTTATTTGTATTCTTCTGTCCAGAATATTTCAAGTTTTTTGCGATTGATTCTAACAACCGAGACCACGTTTTATCAAAGTCTTAACCAACAATTTTTCGAGGCTGCGATGATTACCTACTTACCCATAATGAAATCAGACTTAGCTAGGACCGTGAGAACGTTTTGTTCAGCAAATAATAGGCGAAATGTGTGAGGGAAATCTAGAATCAAAACCGCTTCTTCATGTTATGTCAAATCAACACTTAATTCAGAAACAAAAGTAATAGTCGCTTTCCCCTTAAATAAAGACGTGTCCAAAAGACACGTGTAGAATTATTTACTTTTTAAGAAATTCGTTGCAAGTACAACATTCGCAATCACTTAGAAGGAAAGAAAATATAATATAACATCTGTACTTTGTGCAATAACCATGGGAGTATTATTTTTTCTTAAACAAAAATACATTTATAATTTTGTACAGACTTTTTATGACTACAGTTCAAATATCCGCCCGATAACTAAAAGTATTGCAATTTCTTAAAAGCTTTGCATTACAATGAGCAGAATCACTTGATAAAAACTTGTTAGACCGTTCGAGTTTCTGCTCTTTTTATTGTTGAAAGACGTGTTATTTTTTCGGTGCAAATTTAAAATCGTTATGGTTTTAAGAGAAGAAAACAATTTTCGTTAAAAATTAACTACAATCTCAAAGACCATCAGACCTTACTGCTTTATTTTTCAGCAAAATTTAGCAAATTATCTGGAAGTGATTCTTGATTACATTTTAATGAAAAACTTAAAAATCTTAACAACACTTACTTAGGAGTCTTCCTTTTAAGTAGATGGAGTTAACTAGCTACTAGAAACTAAGGAGACTCCGTTACCGAATGCAGCAAAGCGCAATAGAGAGGGTCGCTTTTAGAATCCATATGCGCTCAATTATTTTCTTCTTATAGTAAAGGAGATTTTCTTGAAAGCAATTTTTCTGATTCTCGGTAAACCCCAAACCAATAGCGATTAAATGGATTAAATTATTCGATATGTGTGAATGTTATTAAAAATAAAATTAAATGCGGAAATATGCATTTCAATGGTTCCTTTGAATTGCCGGTAATTAATTTTAGTAAAATGTTTTACCTCATTATAGTTCTATAAATAACAGCTGTTAACATTTACACTGAAATTGAAATCCACACAAAACATTTATAGCCGATCGTAAATTAATAGTGTAATTTTCACAAAGTGAGTTGCGAATTACAATTAACTGTTATATTTAATACTTGGTACCTAACGACATAATCATTGTTTTGCTTTTGCTAGAATAATAAAGTTGTATTACGACGGTACCATTATGGTAAAACATCTAGCGCTCTTCAAAGGCTGAAACAATTTTCATTGGCTTCCTGTAAACTAGTTATGTCAACGTCACCTATTACCGCCAATAATAAACACCAAAGCGTCGACTTAAACGCATTTAGACACACGTGACACGCTACACACATTATAAAATTTACGACAATGTTATGAAAATTTTCCCCAAAGTTACCTTCTGGTTGTAAATGAATTATCAAACTAAGTGCGTATGTGCAGTTAAAGTCTAAGATCGTGAACTGTTTATGGGCTAGCGTATTTTAACGATGCCGCTTCGATAGGTACTAAAATATGGCGAAATGAAGAAAGACCATTTCAATGAACTTGATTGTAAGAAAATATATAAAAAATAATATTTTTTCATAGTCAATTCAACTCGTGGTACAATTTGTAAAACAACATTTTTTTCTAAATTCCATCACCATCATATTTAAAAGTTATTGATGTTCTACGTTATAAAAATATAATAATAAATAAACTCTTTCAGTTTTAAAAATAAAGAGTTGTAAAAGCAGCTTCTTTTAGTAACAACGTTGTTTATGTTAAAAATTAAATTGTACACACTGTTATTAGATCGATTAAGTTGGTCGAGAACTCTTGATTGCAACCCGGCCTTCTCGCTAAGTTAATTTTGCCATCCATCGTTTATAACTGAATTATTGACTTCAATATTTTGTTATGGTGATAGAGTTTGGCGACATTTAACTTATAACAGAATATATAACCTAGTTTCTTATATTGTTGGCTGTTCAATGTAATATTTGTTTTACTACTATATCCTATATCCTATATCTTCTCGGCTTGATCTAATGTTAGATTACAAATGGTTTCGAAGCTTCATAAGAATGTTTTTGTTAAAAGTACAATATTTTTTTCTACTAACAATGTAAGAGAACTGAGTTATTTCTGAAATGTTTTAATTTATAGCTTAATCTAATCTCTTACAGGGACAAGTAAACCAGAATATAAACAATAATAATACCTAAAACTAGGTCATAGCAGTTAAAGTTCCCAAGTCACTTTACCACTTCCTATGGAGTTCAACAGTTTGAATCGGTTACCCGATATACTTCCTGATTCTCTTTGCTTTGCTATAGAACTAACTGTTCCGTACTCATAGTAGGATATTATATTTTTATATTATATTTCATCGTTTATTGAAATATTTAATGTGTGATTCTTTTTAATTGAAGATATAAGTGGGTTATGAAGAAGTTTGTTAATATTATTTTGTAACATAACCGCTTTATACGTCTACCGAGATTCTGTCACAAATTGAAAGTTGGTTAAGCAACCAAGAAATATTTTCATTCAAATATTATTTTTATTACTATCAGTTGTAAACCTTACTTTATCAGAAATATATTCACATTAAAAATAAATTTGGGAACGCATGTTTCAAAAAATGTAAAGACAATATATATGTACATGTGTATTTGCAATACGGTTTATCGGATTTTTATTCGACAAGACGGTATGGCAGCCTTACTACCATAATCCTATACCAATGACACTTCTTTACGAAGTTAATTTAATAGTCTTGGAACAAAATCACTCCTGATACTGAAATTACAGTTGTATATGGATTTACTTTTATGGTTTAATGACATGATTAACAATCTATGTATAAAATAGAATTTCTTCGACTTGACGGTTCTAAATATTATATGTAGTTAATACAAAACAAGCATTACCAGTAATAAAATATAAACAAAGACATTTAAAATAAATGAATTGAAATTAATAACTTTGGTACTAAATAAAGAAAGATTAAATAGTATGGTAAGAGCATTAAATCTTTCCATTGCAAAGTACTTTTCAAACAGTGTATATTTTAAAACGAACCAACATTGCATTAACTGCTTCCAGAAACTTTAAAAGAATTAAATTTAGAAGAATCCTATTATTATAATTAAATTATACATACCTTATTAAATAAGTAAAATTTTATGATAAAAAGAAAAATAGTTTTTAAAATAAGTGATGAAATAAAACAAACTGTTATGCCTTAGACACGTGAGATTTTTTCAAAAAAAAAAGCGTTACATCGGTCGATAAAATTTCAAAAAAATATAACGTTTTAGTGGAAGCAGATATACGGCGCCGAGAGTTATTTGAAGCGCATACCGCGTAGCTGGCAAAATTTATAATTACCAAGAGAACTTTCCAGTTTCTTCTTTCCAGTTATTATAAAATATGAATTATAATAATCTAAATCAAAATATAATCTTATTGCTATCTAACTACTACGAATCATTTGTTCGTTATAAATCATTTTACGAAGAGAGACTTTAATATTTCTTATTTATTGTGTACTAAAAATGAGTTTCTTAAATCTTTCATAAGATTCTGAACATCTTCAGATCGTGACAAG